ATAAATAAAATGAAACATTCGCTATATGCCTTATTATTATTATTATTATTATTAAAATACGTGACAGGCACAAATATGTATACATTTACTGCAAAGGGGGCCTACGGTTAGGCGCAATGCTGCTGCTGCTGCTGACGATGATGATGATGATGACTGTTAAAATAAATAAATATTTCTTCATTTTGTTTCTCCCTGATTCCCTTAAAATACACCACACACATGTACTCTCACTGTCACTGCCACTGTCGCTGTGTGTGGTGTTGCAGTTGAAGAAGAAAAAAATAGGAAACACATAAAGAAAAGGAAAGAAGGAATTCGAAGGGAATTTACTGGCGTTGGGCGATTGTGAGAGTACACAAGGAGCTTTAAGAAATGGCAAAAGAAAAGGGTGCGTGTCAGACGGCCAACACCGTTCGTGTGAAGGATAAGGACAACGAGGAAAAGGAGATTATTCCCCTTGACCAGGACGATATTGCGCTGCTAAAACTTTACGGCTCTGGCCCTTATCATGCACCAGTGAAGGAGTTGGAGGAATTTGTGAAAACAAAGGGGGAGGAGGTCAATAAGCTAGCTGGTGTGAAGGACAATGAACTTGGTCTTGCACCTCCTGTGCAATGGGATCTCAACAGTGATCAGGAGGTGACGCGCTCAGAAAATTTTCTCCACGTTGCTCGCTGCTCCCGTATTCTCAACAAGGGACAGGCAGATGCAAAGTATATTGTAAATATTCGTGATACCGCCAAATATGTTGTGAAACTCGGCAATCGTGTTGCCCCGGAGGACATTGAAGAGTCCATGCGGGTCGGTGTGTTGCTGGGGTACTCCAGTATTCACATTGAAATCCCACTCCCACCCCGTATTGATCCCTCTGTGTCTATGATGCAGGTGGAGGAGAAACCAGATGTCACATACAACGATGTAGGCGGTGTCAAGGATGTGATTGACCGTATCCGAGAGGTGGTGGAACTGCCGATTACACATCCAGAGAAGTATACGCAGCTTGGTATTGATCCGCCAAAGGGTGTTCTCTTGTATGGGCCACCAGGTACAGGCAAGACACTACTGGCAAAGGCCGTTGCAAATCGCACAGACGCCACGTTCATTCGTGTCATAGGATCAGAGCTGGTGCAGCGCTACATTGGCGAAGGTGCCCGCATGATCCGTGAGATCTTTCAACTGGCCCGCTCAAAGAAGGCGGCCATCATTTTTTTTGATGAGGTAGACGCCGTGGGTGGGGCGCGTGGTGGCGGTGACGGCGATGACGAGATTCAACGCACGATGCTTGAAATGGTAAACCAGATGGACGGATTTGATTCGCGTGGCAACGTGAAAGTCATCATGGCGACAAACCGCCCGGACACACTCGACCCCGCCCTCACGCGTCCAGGCCGCATGGACCGTCGCCTGGAGGTTGGACTGCCGGATCTCGAGGGGCGCACAAAAATCCTGCGCATTCACGCCAAATCCCTCTCTTGTGAAAAGACGATTCGCTTCGAGCTCATTGCGCGTCTGTGCCCAAACGCCACCGGCGCAGACCTGCGGTCGGTGTGCACGGAAGCCGGCATGTTTGCCATCCGAGCCCGCCGCAAGACGATCAACGAAAAGGACTTCCTTGATGCTGTCAACAAGGTGATCAAGGGGCACCACAAATTCAGCGCCACAGCAAAGTATATGGTGTACAACTGAGACCAAACTGGAAAGAGAATGAGAAATCAATGAGGACGAGAGGGCAAAAAGGGGGAGAGAAAAAGAGGAAAGGATGAAGAGGGATAAGTATATATATATATATACAATTAAGAGGTGGGTTACATCCACACGTGTGTACGTACGCATCTCAACTTTTGTTGTTTGGATCGTTGTGTCGGCATCACAACAATTTTTGCCCCACTGCGTGTGTGCGTGTGTGTATGTATGTATACTGCCTCCTTCTTTCCTTTTCTCTTTTTTTTGTTTTTTGTTGTCATCTTCTCAGTGCTGCCCGCTTGTGCCAAATTTATTTTCTTTCTTTTTCTTTTTTTTTTTTTTTGCTTCTTGTTGTTCACTGACGCGGGCCATGCCTTCTGCTTCCCTCGATGCGTGAAGCAAACAAACAAAAAACAGCAAAATACAAATGAGACAAGCAATGAGGAGAGAGAGGGAAAGAAGTATGCGTGTTTGTGTGTGTGCTTCTTTTTTTTTTTTCCCCTTTTTATATATTTGACTCAGCGGATGAAGCGATATTTGATGCCTCCCTCCCCCCTTGTTTGGAAAGCCACGACTTATCACTTTGCGTGTGAGTGTCGTGCTGTCCTCTTCCTCCTCCCTCTTTTTTTTTTTTATTTTTTTCTTTTTTTTCTTTTATATTTTTCTCTCATTTCCTCTTCTTTTCACGTTAAATGGCAGGTTTTGGAGTGCCTGCGGTGTGGCGGTGGGTGGGTGGGGTCGGCTGCAACTTCACACACACACACACAAGGAAAAACAAAAAAAAAGAAAAGAACAAACAAACAACACGTTTCATTGCTTTGAGTCTGCCACACGGAACAGACATCACACGTGCCCTAGTCACATCTGTGTGTCGTAGTTGTATATATACATATATTGAAAGAGGGAGGGAACGTGCGTGTGTACCTCTCGTAGTAACGGAGGCTGCGTCACCCCTTTTTACTTCCTTCAAATACGAGGAGAAAGAGGGGAGAATAGAATTATTGGCTGACGAAAAGGGGGGAAGAGAGGGGTAAATAATAATAATAATAATAATAATAATAATAATAATCGTCAGGAGTTAGTAAAAAAAAAAAAAAAAGAGGGAAGAACACATAAATAAGTCTTCTTTTTTTTTTCTTTCTCTGTATTATAATACACTGCATATGAGTGGCGGTGGTCAGTCTAGACGCAGTTCTATCGATGTTCTTATTCGTGTGCGCCCACTGCGGGCGGAGTTGCAGGAAATGAAGTCCGCTTGGGACATTAGTGCCTCTACACTGCGAGAGAAGGGCAATCCGGATTCTCTCTTTACTTTTGACCACGTTTATGGCACGGACACAACAACGCAGACGTTATATGAGCGCAGTGTGCGTAACAGTATCGTTACAAATGTTGTCAAGGGGTACAATGGAACGGTACTTGCATATGGTCAGACAGGCAGCGGCAAATCATACACCATGTTGGGTGGTAGTGTTTCTGGTGATTACAGCAGTCCAGATGGAATTGTCACACTTGCAGTGCGTGATTTGTTTTCAGATATTGAGCAGGAACAACAACGAAATCCTTCTATGCGTGTGACGGTGTATGTGACGATGGTTGAGATATACAATGAACAGTTGCGAGATCTTTTGGTTCCACCAGGTGCGGCAACGTTGCCCTTATTGATACGAGAAAATGAACACGGTGTGTATGTACACAACGCCATCAAACGACAAGTTGCGAGTGCACGGGAGTGCGTTCGGGTGATCCACACGCATGCCGCTGCTCGAGTGTCTGCATCCACTGCCATGAATGAAATGTCAAGTCGCTCACACTGTGTGGTTCGTATACTTGTGGAGAGAATCATTCCTCTTGAAGACGTCAGCGATTTCTTCTCCATGAGCAGCGAGGAGGAGGGGGAAAACGGCGACGGCATGAAAAGAAAGATTGTTGCCGCGCTTAATTTGGTCGACCTCGCTGGGTCGGAGCGTGTCGCAAAGACGGGCTCAACGGGGGTGCGGATGGTCGAAGGCGGCCACATCAACAAGTCGCTTACAATCCTCACGACTGTCATCAGTCGCCTGACGGAAATGTCGGTTAGCGGGAACGGCAGCTGCGGGGCGACGCCAACATTTGTCCCGTACAGGGATTCGCGTCTCACACACCTGCTGAAGACGGCGATTGGAGGAAATTCCTTGACGGCTGTCTTCTGCTGCATCACGCCGGCAGTGCAGCATGTCGATGAGTCGCGTAGCACGTTGCAGTTTGCGGCGCGCGCAAAAGCGATTAAAAACAAAGTCTCCGTAAATGAGGTGGCGGATTCCAAAACAAAATTGCGAATGATGGAGGCGGAAATTCGGCGCTACAAACGTATGATGCTGGCGACAACAATTTACTTGTGGAGCAAGAACGTGCGTATTAAGCATCTTCAAGAGAAGTTGGACGAATTGTGTCACCTCGGGGCTGCAGATCCTGCTGCTGCTGCTTCTGCTTCTGGTGGTGGTCCTTACGCCCTGCGGACGACGCCCAAGGAACAGCAGCGTGTCATCATTGAAGAACTCACGCGGCAAAACGGAGTGCTTCAGCAGGAACTGGCTGAGGCACGAGAGGCTCTGGAACGGCAGCTGGGCCCGGAGAACAAGACCCTGGCGGGCACACAAGTCACCGCTGCCGTCGCCATGGGCCTTGCTGATGACGGTGAGAAGCAACAGCTGCGTGCAGATGTACGTGATTTAGAGCAAATGTTGAAGGAAACGCTGGATGAGAAGAGTGCGATTCAGGCCTCCATGGATGAATTGGACAACTTCTGCAAAGAGCTGGAGGAGGAAAACGCGGCGCATGCGTCTGCCAACAAAAAACTTCAGACGACATGTCAGGAGTTGCAGAAACTTCTTGACGCCAAAGAAGGCGCCGACTGCGCCGCCATGGAGGAGGTGAATCTGCTGAAGGAACAACTTTCCAAGACGCAGTCGAATTTGTTGGAGAAGGGTCGTGGAGATGAATACCTGCAACAGCTAACAAAACTTCACATTGAGCACCAGGAGCTCCAGTACGCCCACCACCAACTTCAGGAAAGGCACAATCGCGAAATGAATGAAGCCGGCGTTGAGATGGGGGAGCTGCGGAGGAAGATTGATGAACTTGAGGATGAGATGGCAGAGTTGCGGGATGCGAACAAGCTACAGAATTCCTACCTCTGGCGACTGCTCAGTGTGGCGTCCGTCGTGTCACGCGGCAAGGCGGTGGATGGGGATGAAATCACGTCCACTGTTCGTGGCGCACAGGTGGACGCAGCCGTTAAAACGCTTACAACCTTTGTACAGACATCGCTTGAAAAAAATCCTGCTTCTTTTGGGTCACACAATGATGTACAATTGACACCGCCGAATTGGAAACCCCAAGACGAGCACCAACAGGGAATTATTGGGAACGGTGGGAATAAAAATGACAACAGCAAAGATAATACTGTGCTCTTGAAACGTATTGACGAGCTACAGAAGCAGCTGCTTGCAAAAGATGCTCAGCGAGATGTCATTATAGACAGCAAACTGAAGCGCATGCAGAATCTTGCTTTGCGTCTTCACACAAATAACGCAGCGTTTGTTGAAGAGCTGCGTCGGTCCTATACACTGTGCGAGGAGTTGTTTCGCTTTGTAGAAAAACAACCGAAGCTGGCACCAAAGTTGGCGAAAGCGGGTCTTGAGCCCATGTCCTTCAAGGCAGCCATCGATCGTGCTTTACAGTCCAAAATTCCCACAAAGCCGTACGGCCACAATTGAAGGCAACGGTCGCCAACTCGAAGAATTGACAGAGAGGGAAATGTGGAGAGCGGAGTCGTAAAATAAAACACACAGACACAAACATACAACAAGGCGAAACAAAACAAACAAAAAACAAAACAAAACAAAAAGACATGGGTAAACTTCTCTACACGTGATTCTAACGAGGTTGCGTTATAATTTGTAGGGGCAGGGATATCGCTATAAGGGTGAGCACAAAGTTTTAACTCCGACTGTCTGTTTTGCTGTGATGCCACCAAGTGCCTGCTTCTTTTTATCGTTATTGTTTTCACTATCCGTATATATACATACACATAAAAAAAAATATATATATTCGTGTGTGTGGTGTCCCACGTGTTTCTATTGGAGAAGGTGTATATGTGTCGCATTTTTGTATCCCATTTTGTTTAATATGAGAGTGTGAATCGATATTCCACTTGCGTTGTTTTCCTTTTTTTTTTTTTGCCTGCTTTTTTGTTTTTTCTTGTTGCGCTTTTTGTTGTTCTCACCTTCACATGCAGGTGCCGTTGATGAAGGGGCTGCAGAAGGCTGCGCGTCATGGCAGCTACGCGACACAGTTCTGGACACGGCCCGATCATCCACCCTATCGCACGCGCCGTGCGATGCTGACGGCACACTCCAGAAAAGCCATTAGGCGTCGCTTAGTTTTGCCACTTGATGCGCATGACTGGGGCCGTGCCCTTGAAGTGCTCGATGCCGGTTATGCGAGACTTGGCCGCACTGCGGAGGATTATCAAAGGGTTATCCGCGGTGTTGCCAATGAGACGGCACCACAGCGACGTGGGGATGCATTGCACACGCTGAACGCGCTACGGGACAAGGCGTATATGGGCGAGATTGGGTCTAGTGGATTCTGGGTCACACTTGTGTGGGCGTATGCTCGTCTCCGCTATCCACGCGAAGGGTACGAGTGTTTGCTGCAGGGGGAGCGGCGCTTTTGTTTTTCGCCACTCACAAAACAGCACATGGGCGAAACGCTGTTGCCGCTTTTGGCGGAACACGGCATGTTGGATGAGGTAAACTACGTTGTGGAAAACTTCATGGGTACAGGTGGGAGCCGTCAAGATCGAGCGCGTGTAGCAAGTATTTTAGCGGAGGCGGCCGCCCGAAGTGGGTCATGGGAGCATGCCATTGCTGCATTACACCCCGAGGCAACCACCGCGATGACAACACTCAATCCGCGTACATTAGCCTGTCTGTTCGTTTCAGAGGAACTGAGCGAAGGTCAGGAAGAGGCACCGGAGACACCGCGTCGTGCGAGGCAAATTTCAACAGAGGCGCTGAGATGCATGATGTGCTCCATGGCTGACGATGGTCAGTGGGAGATGGCTCTGCAAAGCCTGCGGGAATTGGAACGACGCCAGGGTAATAATGACGAGAGGGATAATACCCATGACGCTGCAGGTTCAATAGAAAGGGGCCAAAAGCAACGAAAACAACAACAGGAATTGTCACTTTCAGAAAATGAGTTGCAACGGCTTCTTAATTCTTTGGGAAGCCGGCAACGATGGGAAGAGGCGACGGCGCTTTTTGTGTCGCAGTATTTTCCCGATAAGTCCGTAAGAGGCAATGAAGAAGTGCGACCATTGCAGTTGACGACGTTAAACCTCCTTTTTGCCTCTTTCCCACGGAATATGAGGGAGTTCCGTCTAGCGGCACCGGATGACAGGCTGGAGTCACACGGTTCCCATACCGACCCTCGCCAACAGGAGAATGAAACCGTGACGGTGGAAATTGACGCGTTACACCACCCGCAGCAGGCTGTTTCTTTGTTCGATCAAATATTTAGCCAACGGGATGACGTTTCAGTTACGGATTTGATGATGGCAACAGTGGGGCCCTCGTTGGTGCAGTTGGGACAATGGGACAGGGCGCTGCATTTGCTTCGGCAAACACCCGCCCTTTCAGCTGCCAAAACGCCCGTCTGCACGCTTGAGGTGCACCGAGAAGTACGGAGGCGTCTTGTAGCACTTCTTTACTACCTGCATGGTGCCATTTCACTGGAGTCACGGTACTACACTTTATATTATTTTCCCTTTGCTTTTCCAAAAGAAACATTTCGGGATCTTTTACCACCATCGGAGTTTTTGGCGCATCTGAGGAAGCAGCGTGAGGAGGAGGAAAAAACGTCGATAACACCCTCTTGTGTGCCCAAGGTCTCTACGAGACGTCGTTTTACATCACGGCGATTGTCTGCCATTGTGCAGAATACGGAGAAACATGACGATGAACTCAGGCGTCGTCTGTTGCCTCTTTACGCTAACCGGGCGAACGCATTCCGCGGAGGGGACGCTGAGAAAGACCCACGGCCAATACCCAAAGGGTTACATGACACGGCGAACGGCTGGAATTTTTATGGCCGTGGCGGTGAGATGGTTTTTATGAATCACAGACGGACTGCGCATCCCTTTTCGATGCATCCAAAATTGATGCGATCAATAACGGATCCGTACCGCGGATGGAGCCCGATGCAGAACAGCTGTTGGGCCCATCGTGAGCGTGTGAGGAAGTGGAATGGAAGTAGCGCAGTCTAAAGGCCCGGATTTGTTTTGAGGCGGCTTTATTGGACATGTAGTGCTGATGATGCTGGCGGTGATGTTTGCAAAAGATTTTGCAGCAGGTTTTAAAAAACAGTCCGCCGCCTTTTTTTTACTGTGTTTTTCTGTGGGCGTTCTCTCTCTATGTGTGTGTGTGTTTTTTTTTTTTTTCTTTTTTTTTTCTTCTTGTTGTGTTTCCTTTGCTTTTTTTTTCTTTGCCCACGTGCGTAGTGCACACAACGCGGCTGTGGCTCCTGCTGGAAAAGTGAGGGAGGCAGTGGAGCACAGGCACGTTGCGAAAGGTTTTTTTTTTTTGTTATTGTGGTGGTTGAGAACACCAAAGAAGGAGGAGGTGCAGAAGCAGAGAGGCACAGCATTGTTGAAGAGGGAAGAGGACAAAATAAGGCCTACGTTGCTTCCAATTCTGGAGGGTACTGGATGAAGCATGTCGCTTCCCTGCACGAACAGTCTTCTCTCACGGGTAACAAGCATCGAGAAGGCGGCTGAAGTGGCCAAAAAGGCCGCACCCAAAGTCGTGGAGCTGTCGGAGGAGGCGAAGACACTGCCACCTCATGTCCGGGGCGTTACAGATCCGACAAAGCTCAACGCGCAAACGCCATTTTTCAAATGCCCGCCATGGGCTGGGCTACCCGCCGTTGCATGTCATCTGCAATGCTCTCGTGATGGGGTCCCGTTGCCATCGTTTGGGCTCGAACGATTTCCCTTTTACTTGTTTGGCCGAAGCCGTGTGTGTGACTACGTTCTTGAACATCCTTCAATCAGCAGCATTCATGCTGTTTTGGTTTTTCACGGTGATCAGCAGTGTTTTGTATTGATGGACTTGGGCTCAACGAACGGCACCAAGCTGAATGGCTCCCGCATTGAAAAAAAACGGCCTCTTCCCGTTCCTATTGGTAGTTGCATTCAGTTTGGTTTCAGTACTCGCATGTATAAACTTTCTCGGGGTCCACCTCCCTCATCGAAACGTTTGCGGGAAGAGCGAGGGGAAAAAGCAGTTGTGGAGGAGAAGGCAGGGAATATGCATTCTGGTAATGTTGATGTTAATAGCCGCCTTGTAGGGGATGTTGCCAGCTCGAGCACTCCCATCGCGGCCAAAACTGCGGATGAGACGCAGGGGGACGAGGCGTTTGTCGCGGGAACGGAAAACCATCAACGCGAGGTGAATGTTGCAAAGAGGGAAAATGGTGTTTCTGCTGTGGTTGCCACTCCTTATCCTCCTCATTCTTCTTCTTCTTTGGCGGTGACTGCGACAGCGATGGATGTTACAAAGCAACCCGGCACGGTTACGGCTTCTGACCCTCTTCCCCCCGTGACACCACCGCCGCCCGTGAAGCGGCATCTGTATCAGGTGCTTATCAAGCACAAGGATGTGCGTCGTCCTGTTTCTCTTGCTCCGCGTAACAAGGGCGATAAAATTACGCGGTCAAAATTGGATGCGTTAACATTGGCAGAGGCCATTCGTGCACGTCATGGCGACCAGACATCGGTGTGGTCACTCGATGAATTTACTGCGGTGGTCCGTGAGTACAGTGAGTGTGGTTCTGCAAAACGAGATGGGGATTTGGGCATGGTGGAGAGCGGCACTTACACAGAGAAATTTGGCGCTGCGGCATTTTCGCTTGGTTGTGGTATGGTGAGTGCGCCGGTGGAGACAGAACTCGGTGTGCATCTTATTTACCGCGCGGAGTAGAGAAGGATACACTTTTTTTTTTTTTTTTTTCCCTGCTGGCCGTGGTGGCAATGGATAAGGTTTTTTGCCCGCCCCAATGCCTTTTTATAATGCATTTCCATAAGAACAAAAAAGACAGCTCACGGCGTTGGTAAATCGACCTGCATGGAAGTGCTGTTTGGGCGACGTTTTTTGTCTATTCTTGTCTTTGTTTGTGTGGGGTGACGGAATGTCCAGGATTTTTTGAATTTTTTTTTTTTTTCTTTCTCTCTTTTCCCAAAATTGACGGGCTCAGCTACGTGAAAGTGCCGTATTGGCAATATAAAGGGGTCTGCGTCAAAGTGACACCGAGTAGGGGACGGGGAGTTACGCCCAATACGTGGAAAGAAGAAGAGGGAAGTGGGTAAAGGCAACAAAAACAACATTAACAAAAATAACAAAAAACAACAACAACAACAATAACAATATATATATATTGTTATACGGAGCCCCTAGTAATTGCCATGGGCCCTATTGCCAAATGGTTGGTGATTGATCTCCTTGAACACTCGGATCCGCAACATTTTCTTCTTGTGAAGGACGGTGTCACTGTGAAAGGCAACCGCGCGAGGAATGGTGTGGGTCACGTGGGGCGAATAATACTTATACGGAAGGAGCAGACTGAATGTGAGGTGGTTGAAGATGAGGATGACACAAAAGACTCCGCTCCGTCTTTGAACCTCCTATTTGCGGAAGAGATGACAGGAAACGAGTTCCCCACTCCATCCAAGCGGCAGGAGAGCGGAGAGTATTTTTTAGTTTGGGCGCCGTATTCGTTTTTTGAATTTTGCACTCACAATGCGTTGCGGCCGAGACCCGATGTTTCCCCTGGCGCTACTGCCTCTACTGTGGAGTCCTTAGAGTGGAGGTACATTATGTGTGTGGCTGTAAAGAACATTGCGAAGATCCGGAGGTGCTCTCTCCCAGACGGAACGCGTGTGATTGAATTGTTTTTTCTTGACGGCACGACGGGGCATCCGCTGATTTTCCTTAATGGTGGCGTCACAAAGTTCCTTGACGCTTTAAGGGGCATCGCACCCCTGCGACAGAGTAGCGTTACCGCGGACGAGTTCCTTTTGTACGCCAATGACGATGCGGAATTGGGAGCCAATGACAGTTACAGAAGTGTGAGTAGGGCCAGAAGTAGCGGCGGTGGGCTCAACAGTGAGAAGCGAGCTTCATTTGATGGGCAAGAGCGTGGTGGTTTCTATTCTGTGCCGGCTTTCTTGGAAGGCCTGACGCAGCCCGATGACATGGAGCAGATGCTGTATGAACGCCGTGATGTATCCCGTATTCCACGTCTCTTTGCCACACTCGCCACGAAAATCGGTGAGGTGCGTTTGCGGCGCTCCCGGCATTTGATACAGAATTATGGAAAGAGCATGTCCACTTACCCCGTCTCCTCTTCCCCCACGCATACAGAAGACTCGCGGACGGAGGAGCCGTTTGAGTTTGTGGAAGAACTTATCCCAGTGGAGTGCCAAACCCCTCAGATTCCTGAGCCACGAAACCGTACAATGGGACCCCCACTCACAGCGGAGATGTGGAACAGCTGTTTCATTGGAGAGGAACGTCGCATCGACCGGAACCGTTACGCCAAGGCAATGGCGATTGCCCATGCGGGTGGAATAGAAAGGGACATTCGGTTGCAGGTGTGGTGCTTTGCACTTCACGTCTACCCAGATGTGTTGGAGTCTACAGAGGCTCAGAGACAGTCCGTACGGGACGTCTATAAGAGCATGTACGAGCGGCTTAAGGAGCAGTGGAAGGGCATATTTCCAGAACAAGAATGCCACTTTTCCGCCTTTCGTGAAATGCGTACCTCCATTGAAAAGGATGTGATACGCACGGATCGGTCTCATGAAGCCTACGTGGATGCTGATGGCGTGAAACAACGCATGCTGTACAACGTTTTAATGACACACGGGATGTTAAACTTTGATTTGGGTTATTGTCAGGGGATGAGTGATGTTCTCTCCCCTATTGCCATTTTGGCCGAGACAGAGGAGGAAGCATTTATGTGTTTTTCCCGTTTCCTATCTGAGCGTTGCGAGGGTAACTTCCGGAAGGATGTTAAAGTAGGCATGAAACAGCAGCTGGAAATGTTGCAGGTACTTGTTCGTTTTTTTATACCACGGCTTTACAATCATTTGGTACGGCAATGTGCAGAGGAGATGTCATTTTGTTTTCGCTGGTTACTCATGTTTTTTAAACGTGAATTTTCCATTGATGACACAATGCTATTGTGGGATGTCATTCTGACTTGCCCCTACACGCCACAGTTTGAGTTGTTTGTCACAGCAGCACTACTGAAGGCCTTGTCACCGCAGATACTCGAGCAGCACCTGACACACGATGAGCTTCTGAAGTTTACAAACGGCATCGCTGGGAAGTTAGACGTCCGGCATGTCATCCTGTTGGCGCAGGATTTCTACGATGGAGTTGCCAAGTGCGCCATGGCAATGGAGCGGAAAGAAGCCGCCGTGGGGAATAACCACCGACCGGCAATAAGTGAAATTTTTTCGTTGTTGACCCTTGCTGAGTTGGAGGACTCTCATGCAGTCTCGAGATTTGGCTTTTGATAGTCAATAGTTTTCAGAGCGCATAGTCTTTGTGTTTGTGCGTGTCTGTGCGTGAGGGAGTGAGTGAGCGCTACGAGTAAAAGAAAATGAGCAGTTTTTATTTTTATTTTTTTTTTATTTTTACTTTTTTGTTTTTGCGTGTGAAATGACAAGAAACACATCAAAAATAACAGGAGGATTGAAGAATAGTGAGAGAGAAGGAAGGAAGGAAGGAAGGGAGGGAGGGAGGGAGGGTGAAGGATGGAAGGAAATGTAAATGAATGGAGGGGGGGAGGAAAAGAGGAGGGGAAAAAAAAACTCAGCGGATGAGTTTGAAGGGGGGGGGGGAGGGGGGAATTCTGGAGTGACCGCGTAGTTGCTGGGCCTATGCCTCATCGCTTGTTGCATTTCACTGGTTAAAGTTTTTTTCTTTCAACTCCACTTCCTTCCGCTACATTCATGTGTATGTGTCTGCGTATGTCAATTTTTCATTTAGTGAGGCCTCACATGCGGTGACATTTGGCTGTTTTTTTTTTTTTTTTTGGGAGGGGGGCTTTCTTCTCTTTGTTTGCTTCTGTGTGTATCTCTGCAGGAGATGTTGCAAAAGTCTTCCATTTTAATTTTTTGCTGTTTTTTGTGACGTTGTTTTACGTGGGTCTCTCTGTGTGTTTGTGCCAGCGAGTGAGTGTGTGTGTGTGTGCGTGACGCCACCACTCAATAAGGCACAATGTCGAAGCAGCGTCGGGAAAGTGCTCTGGCCGTGGTGCAGCGTCTCAATGCTTCTCCTGTCAGACTGCTTCCATCTATCCTTCATAACGCGACAGATGGCGGCTTGCGGCAGAGTGATGTCCTCGTTGTCGGTGGAGTTCCAGGCACCGGCAAGACGACGTGGGCGTATCGTGTTGCCGCACAACATCTCAGCTGCGGCGGCGTCGTCACATTTGTATTTGTTCCTGGAAGCGGAAACTTTCAAATGCGACGCTTCATGGAGTACCTCGAGATGTTTGTGGTAACACCGGACCCCTGTGCTCTTCTTCCCTTGTGTATTAGTTCTGTTTCCGTGGCGGGCGACTCTGTGATGGAGGCACGTCGCAAGGCGCTGTTGGGCGCGCTGGACCGCCTGGAGGTGGTGCACTGCGTTGACATCAACGATTTCTTTGTTTACTGCAATCACGGGGCCGTTGGTACCTCCTCCGGCGTGGGTTCACGGGAGGTGGCGGTTCCGCTTTTCATCGTGGAGGGGTGCGGTGGAAAGGGCAGCTACCTCTATCACTTGGAGCGAGCCATTGGCCACGCGGTGCCACTCTCTCATTGGTTAATTGGCTGTCTCCAGCGTCGGAGGCGGTGTGCGCTTATTATTATAGAGGACTGGGGGTCCGAGGATGTGGCCATGGCTACACGGCGTCGATCTACGCGTGAAGAGAGCTTTTCCCCGTTTGTGTTGGCAGTGGAAGAGGAGTCCGAGTTTCTTCGTTATTTGCATACAGAGAAGCCGCAGAAGAAGGCTGCATTCCGCCACCATTTTGCAAAACGGCAGCGAGCTGGCTCGACGATGACCGTGACTGCCAGTAATGCCGGCAGTGGCTGTACCGCGCCCACACAGGTGCCCTTGTCATCGGATTTAATGGTAAGAGATTTACACTCGCACTTTGCGGGGAGTCTACGTTTCTTTTATCTCTACACACAGATGGTGTCGGTGGCAACTAGCGGGCTCTCCCCCGTGGCAAGTCTGTTGCAGTGGCGTCTTACAGAACAAAACGCGGGTGGCGGAAACAACGAACACACGGAGCTGCCGACAGAATCGAACCGGCAGGAACGCTGGCCGCCGCCGCCGCCGACAGAACGGACTGCATGTCTACGGGGGGAGGTACTTTGCGTGGCTCAGTTGTAGGGTGATTTACACCACACTGCTCCATTTCATCACTGCAAATGAAGACGCAGCCGGGAACATTGACATGTTTCTTTGTGGTGTTTCTTTCCAGAGATTGAGTGTGAGTGTGTGGCTGCTTTTTGCAGGGGAAGCAAACCGAATTTTGTCTGGAGAGGCGTGTTATTTGAGCCGAGGCTCTCTTTGGGAAGAAAAAATTTTTTTTCCCCTCCACCGAACCCAAAGTTCATTTCTTTCCTTCTTCCCTCTTTTGCTTTTATTTCTCTAATAATAATAACAATAATCAGTCCTTTGCAGTATAAGGTACCACTCGCGTTGTTGGGCCGGACGGTATCTAATGAGCAGCAATAGTGACGACCAGCTTTTGCTCGGACTTCCAACGGACAATCTCGCTGACGCGCCGAACACTGCGGATTTGCATGGTGGGGGAGAGATGGAAGGGGAGGAGGATGCGTATCTGGACCTGGGGCCGACCAGCGAAAGGGAGAGCAATGATGACGAAGTGGGTGACGGTGGCGATGATGAGGGTGCTGAGGGCGAAAACCAGTCGGGTGGAGCAGGAGGTGGGGAGAACGACAGCAGTGTTGCGCAGCTTTCAGACAAGGCGCTGAGGCGTATTAAAAGCAAGACGGAGGCGAGGGCGCTGGGGCGGGATTTGTACAAGCGGTGGAAAAAACTAAGAAGGCGGAGCAATAAGGAGGAAAGACAAAGACATCGACACCATAGCAAGACGAAAAGGAAGAGCAGGCGAGAGGAAAAGAAAAGTAAGGATAAAAAGAGGGATAGGAAGAGGCGTCGTCGAGTCGATGATGATGATGATGATGATGATGATGATAGGGACAGCGAACACCATGGTGGCGAGAGAAATGACGACTCGACTGAGGACAGGTATGATCGTGTTCACAAAAAGGGTAGAAGAGCAGCTGCTACCAAAAAGAAACGGAAACGCTCCCGTGGCGAAAACCCTATTGCCCTTGGGGACGAGGATTTGGGTGCGGCACCTTTTGCTGACCTTGATGAGGTGCTTCAAGTGGAGGAGGCGGCAGCAAAAAATTCCGGCGGACAAGGGGTCAAGGGCGTCCACACGGAACCGAAGGTGAAGAAGCTCACGGCGGATGCACAGCGTGATGTCCTTCGAAAAATTGCTGCTGGCGTTGTAAATACCATGCGTGAGGCACGACTGAAAGATGAGGTGGAAATGAATGAGCGCCGTCCTCCGCTGCATCGAGTGGCCATCCGTGAAAGTGTCATCTCACAGTGCCGTCGCGAGGCGCTGCGCTCGTTTCTCATTGAGGAAGGCATCCTGCAGGAGCTCAGTACGTGGCTGTACGACTTCACTCGTAACGAGTTGGCGGCTTTTGAATTGCGTTCTGACGCACTAGATATTCTTTTGAGTTTCCCAATCGACGGCGAGCTGGAAGTTGGAGTGACACGCAACGGTGATGAAATTTTGGACGCCTTCACTGGAATGACGCGTGAACACCTCATTCACACGGACCTTGGCAGTGCTGTTAATGCCCTGCGGCAGTCAAAGCAGGAGGTGCACCAAAACCGTGCCAAGGCCGTACGACTACTCGAAAGGTTAAGCCGAGCGATGGCAGGTGGTGTCCGAAGTGGACGCCGCGGTGGTTCTGACGGCGTCCGTGGATCACAAGCCGGAGAAGTTGGCCTCTCCAGTACTGTGACTTGGAAGTGTAAGGAGGACCCGACAGTGGCACCACCTTTCCACACGGTGCAGACGGGAACGGAAGCTTTTCAAAGTGCGCTTGCAAGACCTGACCCGCTTGATCCCTTCTCGTACTTGCGGCTGCCACCGCGACGGGCACCAAAAGTACATGTGACCAACTTGGGAGGGAATGTTGGTGTAGGAGGATAAAAGTGTCCTTTTCCCGTTCAACGCATTTTTATGGCCCTCTCTCTCTCCCTTCCTTTTTTTTTTTTTCTACAATTTCTTTGAGTGCTTCTGTAAAAAGGTGTCTATGGCTAGCATTCTTTAAGGAATGCATCTTTTTTTTTTTTCTGGGCGGAGGGCCACTTTTGAAATTTTTACTGCAAACTTGTTTTTTTTTTATACTTTTTATACTTTTTTTTTTTTTTATCAGCTGAAAGAATATTTAAGAGAATTACACATATTTATAAGCAAAGAGCGACTCAGAATATTTACATTCATATATTATTTTGGTTTATCTCTAATTACCGGAAGAAAGGCGTGGCGTGGCGGGGGGGGAGGGGAAAAATGAAAATTGGAATTATTGGTTGTGGCAACATGTGCGAGTGCATCCTTAATGGACTCGTTTTAAGTAAGGAGTATCCGCCAGAGGAAATTTGTATTTTTAACCGAACCGCCGCGAACCTCAAACGATTGTGTGAGCAGTATGGGGTTCAGGCTGGGAAGGACGCGGTGGATGTTGTCCGAAGGTCGAACGTCGTAATGCTTGGTGTTAAGCCGTATGCCGTTTGTTCAGTGGTCGAGAAAATACGGGACGCCGTCACAGAAGACAAAATCATTCTTTCCGTTGCGGCGGCCATCAAGATTTCCTCGATAGAAAAGGCATTGGGACATGCACGGAAGGTCGTGCGCGTGATGCCGAATGTTCCGACGCGTGTGGGTGTCGGTCTCACTTCTGTCACACCAAACGCCCTGATGACACGCGAAGATACGGCGCTGATTTTAAAAATGTTCAGCACTTTGGGGAAAGCGGTGGAAGTGGCGGAGTCGCAGATTCACGCGGTAATTGCCGTGGCCGGCTCTGCTCCCGCGTATGTGTTTATGTTTATGGAGGCGATGGGCGATGCGGCTGTGCATGGTGGACTCCCCAGGGATCAGGCATACGAGTTTGCGGCGCAGGCGGTGATGGGTGCGGCGAAGATGCTACAGGACAGTGACATGTCGCCAGCACAGCTGAAAGACATGGTGTGCTCACCTGGTGGTACGACTATTGAGGCGGTGCGGTCGCTTGAAAAGGGAGGTCTGCGTTCCACCGTTATTGAGGCCATGATTGCGTGTGCTGATCGCTCCAAAGTGCTGGAGGCCAATCTAAACTAGGGATTTCTCATTATCGTCTTACGACTTGGATGGGTTTACTTTTGGAGGAATTATTTTTTGTTTGTTTTGTTTCCTACAGTTGGGGTAAATGTATTTCTTATACATATTGGTTTTGGGTGACGCCAGGAACGAGTCTGAGGAAAAAGGGGATGGTGCGTGAAACAGTCGTGAGCCCAAATGGCTGGTGTGAAGGCGCCGTCTTCATTGAAAAAGAGGGAGGGGGGAAAAAAAAGAGGGGTTTAGGGGTCAGTGAAATGATGGGCCGTTGTGGTAGCCAAAAGGGAATATGTGATGTACTGGGACCCCGCTCGGTTGTGGAGTTCTGCTCCCATTCGGTCTGTGTGTCTGTGTGCCCTGTACTCACGACTTTTGTTTGCTTCCACTGCATCCGGCACTGTTTCTCCCCCATTTGTCCCAACTTTGATACATGTGCGGCAAAAGGGGGATAAAGAAAGGAAGGGGAGGAAGGAAAAAAAGCTTTTTTTTTTTTTTTTAGTTTTTGTGAAGGGTGGGCGTGGCACGGGGGAAAAGGAGCAAAATAGAAGAGGAAAAGGGAGGAACAACAACAACAACAAAAAAGGAAAGAAAGAAAAAAGGGGCGGGTTTGAAATATGAGGAAATTGTCGGGGGATTTAAAGGCCACGACCGCCACACCACTCACACCTCCTGTCACAACGCCTCAACCGCAACCAGACGGTACGGACCGCAGCAAGAGTGCGGGTGGCCAAGCGACATATGAGCCGCTGCATGTCTTGGGTCAGGGGTCCTTTGGTGTTGTCATGATGGCAAGAGTACGGGAAACTGGGAAGATGGTTGCTGTAAAGAAGGTTCTCTTCGATCGTCGTCTGCATCACCGCGAGCTTTTGCTTTTGCGTGATCACCTCGGTCCTGCCACACACGCTGGGCAGGCTGGAACAAGAAATCATGATGACCCAGGCAGGGAAGCTGGAAAAACCGATCCCAGTAGCACCAATAATTCCGCGGGGGAGGTGGGGTTTACGCCACTTGGGGATTTGACGTCAGCTCCCACCACAGTGTCATATCATCCGTGTATTGTGAGGCTGTTGGATCATTTTACTGTAGCGGGTCCCAATGGAGAGCAGTACCTTTATATTGTGATGGATTACCTGCCATTGGATATTCACCGTTTACACCATATTTATCTGCGGCAAAAGCAGCAGCGGATGCCATTTATTTTAGTAAAAGTTATCATGTTTCAGCTTGCACGGGCTTTAATGTTTCTGCATTTGCGCGGCATATGTCATCGTGATGTCAAACCTAGCAACTTATTAATTGACCCAGAAACGGGAGTATTGAAGCTTTGTGATTTTGGTAGCGCCAAGGTGATGCAGCCTCAAGGCGTGAATGGCCCGAGAGAGAAGAATGTATCATACATTTGCTCCCGCTACTACCGCGCTCCGGAGTTGCTGCTCGGTTCATTGTACTATCACTTTCATGTAGATATGTGGGCGGCGGGTTGCGTGCTTGCTGAGCTGCTTTGCGGTGAGGTGCTGTTTAAAGGAGCTAGCACGGTGGATCAGATGGCCGAGATATTTAAGGTTCTTGGAGCTCCATCACGTCAGGAGCTTCTGGCACTGAATCCACAGGGCGCCGAGGCTCTTTTTCACGCCACCGGGGCCGGACTTGAAGTGACACCAACGTCGGCGGCGAATACTGCCACCAGCAGTGATTACCTGCAGCGTTATCACGCCCTTCGCATAAAGGCACTTCAATGGCAAAATGTGCTTCCGCCAAACACACCACCAGCCGCGGTGTCGTTAGTGGGAGAGTTACTGCGATATACACCGGCCGAGCGACTGTCCGCTGCGGAGGTTTTGGAACATTCGTTTTTTGATGACATCTTCGCTGAGGATGCGTCCCTTCCAAATGGGGCACCGCTTCCTGTCAGCATGTTTGAGGTGACAGCCGAAGAGATGGAGGCGCTTCCGCCTTGGCTGCTGGAGCGCATGGCATCCGCGGAGGCCTCCGCAAGACGACGGCATGTGAGTGCAGGTGGCAGCGGTAAAGTGGTGCCACCACAGAAGCGTCAAGAACAGGAGGGGCGAAAATAAATAAACAAACAAACAACGAAAGCGAAACGAGGAAGAAAAAAGAGGGGGGTGAATGTGAATGGTTGGAATGGAATGGAGTAGGAAAAAAACAAAAAACAAAAAACAAAGCAAAAGACAGAAGAAAAAAGACATTGTCGCAGTGGCCGCTACACGAAAAGCGAGGGGGCCCGGAGTGAGTGGGCGAGAATACGGACTCGATGTGTAATGCGCATATGTTACCAGGGATCATGGCTTTTGTTTTTTCCAACAGTTTTTCTTTAGCCCCGGACCGCAGGTCTAATGCGGTGAGGACTAAGAAGAAGAGGATGTCAAAAGGAAAAAAAAAGAAAAAAAGAAACAAAAAAAAAAGAAAACGAAAATCTGAGGCGTTGCTGACATGAGCATCCACGCTGTCCGTCATCTTACAGGGAACGAACAAAAGGGGATTACTCTGTGTACTGTTGCCCATATGACCGATGGTCAAATCAGCATGATGCGAGGGCTCACAGAGTGTGGGGGGATGGAAAAACGGGACAGAGAGGGGAGAGGCGAAACGGCATGGTGAAATTTGTGGGAAAGAGGATGGGAGAAGGGGAAAATTGGTTTTGACACGAGACTTTTTTTTTTTGTTGTTGTTTGTTGTTTGTTTCCTTTTTTTTTTTTTATGGCTGCGCTTCAAAGAAAAAAAAAAAAAAAAAGAAGGCAAACGCGGGGTAGGCGTTTTTTTTTTTTTTTTTTTTTTTAAAGAATTGTGTTTGTTTCTCGCTGCATTTGTGCGTCGTGTCTTTATATGTGTAACTAACGGAGAGGATGGGGATGTGAGGGGAGGATCCATGCGCACATGCTTCCTCTTTGCCCTTTTATGCACCTTTCAGCAATATTGTTTCCAATGGAGTGTCGCTTTCTTTGTTAGTGGTTTTTTTTCCCCCATTTCTTTTTTTTTTTTTTCTTTTTATTGTTGTCCTGATGCTTTAGTTTGCTTATCTCCTTTAATAATAATAGTCAATAATATTAATATTAATAATTCTTATTATTATTTCTATTTTATTATTATTATTATTATTATTTTTGCTGCTGACGTGTTGCTATCGCTTGCGTTCTTTGTCTGTGTGTGTGTGTGTGTGTGTGTCGCTTTTTGTTCTTTTTTTTCTCTCTCTCTCTCTCTCTCTGTGTGTGTGTGTGCCGCTGCAGGGAACTGCGAACAGGGATTGCTTCATGTATCGCGGTGTCATTTTAAAACTCCGTTGTTTGTGTGTATGTAGCGGGGTTGGGAATGGGTGTGCGTGGGCGGGGGAGGAATACACGCTTCTGCCCGCGTATATTATTTATATATTATTGGCTTACAATCATTCTTTTATGAATAACACCTAAAAATCATGGATACTTGTGTATGTATGCACGCACATTTAATTCTTGGGTCTTTTTTTTTTGGGGGGAAGAGGGAAGGGGGGGTTTACCGCTATGCGAAGAGCGGAATGATTACGTTGTAAGTGAAAAACAACAATAAAAAGAACAAACAAACAAAATAAAAATAAAATAAAAAAAAAAATAAAATAAAATAATAACAATTTGGATAATACTTGGAGGTTGGAAAGTCAATATTTTTGTTTGTTTGTGTGTGTAATTTTTGAATACACGAATGATGAAGATAAGTGTGGGGTCGTCTATACATACATATACATTACCCATTGACCATTCCACATATCATACATACATATATATATATATGAATCGGCGGGATACGGAAGCAGACACGGGAGAGTGAGAGGGAAGCATTTCCCACCATGGGGATTTCACTGCCCTATTTTTGTTGTTATTATATTACTATTATTATTTTTGTGTGTATTTGTGTGTATGGGGTGGAGGTCTTTTTTTCTTTTTTCCTTTCTTCTTCTTCTTTTTTTTTTTTTTTTTTTTTTTCTTGCATGCAAGGATGACTTGTCTATTATTTTTTTAATTTTATTATTTTATTATTATTGTTATTATTATTATTATTATTTTTTCAATATCTTTTTTGTTGTTTTGTGTGACTGGCAAGGAATGCGTTGTTGGGTGGCTGCCGCTTCCCTGCAGAAGGGATTTGACCATTTTTGTTTTACGCCACGTGCTTTTTGGACTCGAGGAGTTTTGTCTTCCCTGGCGGAAACGTCGTGTTTTTATCCGCGGCGGCGTCGTATTCGACATGTGCCTTTCTCTCCATCTGCGCGGGTGCTGCAGAACAGCTGCCGGGGGTTCACCTCGACGTCTGCTGCCACCATGCGGTTTGAAGGGATTGGAAGAAACAGGCAGAAGCCCGCCGTGAGGGAATGGGACGAGCATGGAACGGCGAAAGTGCAGCAGTCAACAGAGACAACAGACACGGCGCTGCGGGAGATTGAAAGTGCCATCTCTGCGCTTAGGAATGACATCTTGCGGCAATACAGTGACGTCTTTAGCTTTTTGCCGTCCGCCGACCATCGACACTCGATGGTCATGCTGCTCGGCAACCACAGCGCAGGAAAGTCAACCATCATTAATTATCTTCTCGGTCGTGCCGTGCAACGGACCGGGGTTGCACCGACAGACGATGGATTCACCATCATTCAGCGTGGCGACCGGGATAGTGAAGAGGATGGTCCCACGAGCCTCAGCGACCCGCGGTACCAGCTTCAGGATCTACAGAAGTTTGGTATGCATTTTGTCCACCGGTTCAAGGTCAAAACGCGGCAGTTACCGCCCTCGTCAAACGTCCCATATGGACTGATGATTGTGGATACACCTGGAATGATTGACACCCCAGTCCACGTGAAGGACCGCACATCATTGGAGGGACAATTGCGCGGGTATGACTTTTTGGCGGCCACGCGCTGGTTTGCGTCTCGCTGCGACGTCATTCTTTTGGTGTTTGATCCGGCCAACCCCGGCACCACTGGAGAGACGCTCGATGTCCTCACAAAATCTCTCGCCGGATTTGAGCACAAGTTCCTCCTCGTAATGAACAAGGTGGACATGTTTGACAAAGCGACGGACTTTGGTCGCTCCTACGGAGCCCTCTGCTGGAACCTCAGCAAAGTCATTGAAATGAAGGACATTCCACGCATCTACACCACTTTTATACCAGTAAAGACCGCCGCAACCGAAGAATTGGAGGCCACGACGCCGCTGGTGTCTTCATTGAATTTAGCGCCACTCGACTCAGCAACAAAAACAATAGAAGAATCAGCGGCGGTTTCGGTGGAAGATAGGGTTGCAGTGGTGGCGATGCAGGAGTTTGTGAGGGAGCGAAACGAGGTGATGGAAGAGTTACTGAAGGCTCCGTTGCGCCGTCTTGACAACCTCATCACGGAGACGGAGGAGGGCGCGAGACGGATCCTACTCGCAGGCCGCGTATGCAACGCGATTCTTTGGAAGTATCGTCAGAAACAAATGATCACGGTTCTTGCATCATCTGCCTTGTTGGGTTTGGGCGCATTGATCCTCACCGTTGGTGGTATAAGTGGCACGACAATGTCACTCGCCGGCATCACCGTTCTCGCTGCCGCAGGATCTCTTTACGGGTGCCTCGCCTATTTAAAGCGCCTAGAAAGTGAGCTTCTCAACGACAGCGACGCAATTTTTGATCGGCTGTTTATAGGGCGCGAGAAATCGTTGGATCTTCAGCTGCGCTGGAGGAACATTGTGAAACCGGAGCTTTTGGACCTGGCGTCTTCGTCGGCGACGGCAGGGAGGGGCGTTATTACAACCCTACCGACGCTCAGTCTGTGGGGACAAAAAAGCATAACCTCCATTTTGAAAAATGACATTCCTAGGCTTCGGCTGAGGGTGGCAGATTACAAAAATACACACCACATCCGTGGCGGCAAGCATCCAGCATCCACGTATTCGGGGAACCGTTAGTGTGTCAAGCAGAACCTCGCGGTCTATTGCTTGGGGGGGGGGGGCAGGCTACTGGCCGTGTGTTTATTACGCATATAAAAAATAATTTATTACCACTGTTGGTGGGCTTATTTTTTTTTTTTTTTTGTTGCATCTGCTTGCTCTCGTGCTCCGAAGTCTCTTGGGATATATTTATATTTGCGTCTTCTTTATTTGTTTTTTTTTTCTTTTTCTTTTTTTTTTGTTGTTTTGGAGCGCACAGCTGCAAATGACAGCGGAAAAAGAAGAAAAACAACAACAACAACAACAAATAAAGAAGCAAAAGGCTGTGTAAATGGAGAGACACACGTACATACACACAGAAGGGGAAGGGGGAAAGAAGGAGGCGCATACATGCGTAACATTTACGAGGATTTTTTTGTCTGCTTTTGTACGCGTCTTTTGTACGTACATGGAGGGCGGTTCGATGATAATTTGCCTTTATTATTATTTTTTTTTTAAATTATTTTCTCTTCCTTTCTATTTCTCTATTTATTTATTTTTACAAACCAAGCAACTCGAGACAACAATGAGCCACAAGTACATTCTTCAGGGGAATTCCCCTCTCAGTAAGGCGGTTTTATGCGTGCTTCGGATGTTTTCCGTTCCCATGGAACAAATCATCACGGACGGCACACACTTTGCCGTGAATGACGGGTCAGTGATCCACATTGGTCTTCTCCCGATTTTGATGGTGCTTCGCAAGTCCTCAGAAACTCCCGAGTTGAGGGCATTTGTCGGGGCGGAGGCCGAGGTGCTTCCGCTGGTAAATCAATGGATTTCAACAGCGCTTCTTCTCTCGGCCGATGCTGCGGGTGCTCGGGCCACTGCCTGTGCAACAACACCTCTCGCCACACATGTCTTTGCGGAGATTGAGCGCTGCGTGGAAAGCTTCAAACTAAAAAATGGTTTTCTGGCGGGAACGCCAAGGGCAACTGTTGCAGACCTTCTTCTTTACGCCGCCATTCACGGGCACCCGAATGGGTTGACCGAGGCACTACCATCCACGCTGGCGTGGTCCCACCATGCACAGCAGGATGCGTACCTGGAGCCAATTCTTTCGGCGCCGACCGCAAAGGCAACGGCGGCGGCTCAAAATGCGTCAAAGGTGAAGAAAACGATTTACGTGAAGCCTTCAGAGGAAGAAATTTTGCGCCGTCGCCAGGAGAAGGAAAAGGAGAAGGAGCAGAAGGCAAAATTGGCCCAAGCCGCTAACACCTCCACTACTGCCACGTCGTCCGGCACGAAGGATGGTCACACCCGTAAGGGGGGGCAAAAGGAACAGTCACAGCAGGCTGCTGCACCTGACCCGAACCAAATTGACATTCGCGTCGGACGGTTTACAAATATTAAACGGCATCCGGACGCCGATCGTCTGTACGTGGAAGAAATGGATCTCGGCACGGAGACGCGTACAATCGTCTCTGGTCTTGTGGGACACTACACGGCTGAGGAATTGGAGGGGTCCCTGTGCCTGACTGTGTGCAACATGAAACCGAAGCCACTTAAGGGTATCAACTCGGAAGGCATGATACTTTGCGCATCCAATGAAGCCGAACTTCGCCTTGTTCAACCACCCGATGGAGCCAAACCTGGCGATCGCATCTTGTTTGCCGACGCGTTTAACGCAGAGGCACTAAAAGAGACGAAACAACTGTCCAGCCATGTCATGGGTGATTTGATTGGGTTTCTTCATACAGACGGCGAGGGCATTCTGCGTTGGCGAGACATTCCCGCACAGCACGCCCATGGTGTGGTGAGGGTTCCCGACATTACTAATGCTATTGTGAAGTAGTAAAGCAACTAGGCAGGAAGAGGGAAAAAAACAAAAACAAAAATAAAAGGAAACGATACCGATAAGTTAGAAGTTTTGGTGGAAAAAAGGAGCAGAAAGGAGGAGGGATTATTCTGTTCGAGGGAGGCAATAATGGACTTTGTAAGTGCGGTGGGGGATATGCGGATTTATCCTTCGTGGACGATGGATGCCGGAGTGTGTTTCTCATCGCAGCCTTCCTTTTTTTTTTTTTTTTAAGTTTGAAACGTTTCCACAGACGAACAGAAACAATTAGAAATCTTTGTCTTTTTTTTTGTTTTCTTTTTTTTGTTTTCTTGTTTTTTTTCCTTTTCCCCATGCAGTGTCACTTCTTATTCGAGCAGATAACGTAAGGGAAGGCGATATTATTGTTTTCGAGCAGATTTCTTTTGGCAACGATGTATCGGTCCAAGAAATCAGGTGGACTGGCTGCATCCTCCGCGACAGCGCCGGAAAACTCCGTTGGTGCGGTCCAGGAAGAGATTATGCCGAACAACTCCCGCGATTTTAAGATTGCGACAGGTGTGATGGCCTTCAAGGCGCGACTGATGGCACCTTTCATGCTGTACGATCGCTCGATTCGGCAGGTGGTGCCAAACCCCGCACACGACCGTGTTTATCGTTCTGAGGTGACTCGTGTGCAGGGCGTTGTGCTTCGCGAACTTCGGAACGCGCTGGAGCGAGAAACTAGCACCACCCCTAAAGAAATGCTCTATGGAATTCAAAAAAGTATCATGCTTGCCTATGCCTCTTGTGCCGTGTCTAGCGATGTGGAGGCACTTGTGCCAGTGACCTCGGATGAGGAGGCGATGGACGTTATGCCACGACTAGAGAGCTTTTTTGGAGAAAGAATTGCCTCTTCTAAGGCTGTGGCATCGCTTGCGGCTGTCCTCTCCACCGGTATTGTGCGTGATAGCTACAAGGAGGCGTGCAATCGTCTGGAGGCAAGGCTTGCAGTGGAGGAGCAGCCCCAAGCGAAGAAAAAACGCACAACGGAAGGACAGTTCGCTCTGGAGGCGACAAAAAAGAACACACAAGATCTTTTTCAAATAAGAGCTTCGTTGTTGACGGCGTTTGAAACCATCAGCACACCTTTTAATGAAAATGGCACCACACCATTGCCAAACAGCGCCACGGCGGATGCGACGACGGCGGTCCTTACGGTAGAGTCGTATTACAGTCTTCTACGTTGGGTGCTTATGATGCAGCCGGAACGCCTTGAGCTAAATGTGGCCCACTCTACAATGGCACTTTACCAGGAGCCTCAAGCCGCAAAGAAGCTTTTTGCCAAAGTGACTTGCTATGATCCTACCACCGGTAAGGTTGTGATTGAGCGCACGACGGCCGATTCCAAGTGGGGTATGGTGTTAAATGCATCCGGCGCTCTGGTTGGCTTGGAAAATGCACTTCGAAACGCGACACCTGCAGGGGGTGCGTTGTACCACGCTCTTCATCAAAGAAAGGCAGGCCTGTCTATTTTTGACATCAACAACGTTCACATTGGCGGTGCTGAGGGAGAGGAATTGGAAGAGGGAGAACACGAAGTGTTGGTTGACGCCAAAACCAAAGCCGCTCGCGTAGAGAAGATAAAAAAGGTACTTCAGGGGTCGGATTGTGTTATTTCATTACGTGTGGAAAAAGTGACGACAATGGGTGAACCAAAGGAAGTTGCATTTGACGCCATACAACAGGGAGGGGAAGAAGCCTCGGGGCAACAGGCGGTTCTCATTCTAAAACGACCATCCATTGAAGTGCAGTGGAAGCTTAAGATGCGTGTGCATACCGAGGGTGTTATAGTTTTGGAGGACTGTTCCGATTCTCTGCCGGTTTCTGAGGCAGCCAGAAATTTCCTTTCCTCCCACCGTGGGCATTTGCTCCTTGTGCAGGTTAATGGGTGCGACGCAACACATGGTGCCCTTCTCATGGACCTGTTTCGCAGTTCCTTGTACTTGGTGCTGCGACTCCAGGTTGTGGACAACGTCGAGCAGCTCGTGGCGGATGCAATTTCCAAAAAACAGGGCGAGGCGATTGAGACTGTGCAAGGTGCGACAGTTTTTCATGAAGAGCGGGAGACGAATGAGGATGAGGAGGCTGAAGTGGCCCAACACCGAGCACTGTTGGAGCAGCACAACATTCATCCCGACGAGCCCCTACCGGAGGTAAATGAATTCGAAGACGCATCATTGCCAAAGAAAAAGGGACGCCCAAAGAAGCTGAACGAGGCAGAGGATGCGGTGGCCGAAATGACATTAATGGAGGAACAGGAGGAGATGTCAGCAGCCGTCACGGAGGCGGAGGAGGCGCCACTGCCCAAGAAGAAGGGACGCCCAAAGAAGCTGAACGAGGCAGAGGATGCGGTGGCCGAAATGACATTAATGGAGGAACAGGAGGAGATGTCAGCAGCCGTCACGGAGGCGGAGGAGGCGCCACTGCCCAAGAAGAAGGGACGCCCAAAGAAGCTGAACGAGGCAGAGGATGCGGTGGCCGAAATGACATTAATGGAGGAACAGGAGGAGATGTCAGCAGCCGTCACGGAGGCGGAAGAGGCGCCACTGCCCAAGAAGAAGGGACGCCCAAAGAAGCTGAACGAGGCAGAGGATGCGGTGGCCGAAATGACATTAATGGAGGAGCAGGAGGAGATGTCAGCAGCCGTCACGGAGGCGGAGGAGGCGCCACTGCCCAAGAAGAAGGGACGCCCAAAGAAGCTGAACGAGGCAGAGGATGCGGTGGCCGAAATGACATTAATGGAGGAACAGGAGGAGATGTCAGCAGCCGTCACGGAGGCGGAGGAGGCGCCACTGCCCAAGAAGAAGGGACGCCCAAAGAAGCTGAACGAGGCAGAGGATGCGGTGGCCGAAATGACATTAATGGAGGAACAGGAGATGTCAGCAGCCGTCACGGAGGCGGAAGAGGCGCCACTGCCCAAGAAGAAGGGACGCCCAAAGAAGCTGAACGAGGCAGAGGATGCGGTGGCCGAAATGACATTAATGGAGGAACAGGAGGAGATGTCAGCAGCCGTCACGGAGGCGGAAGAGGCGCCACTGCCCAAGAAGAAGGAAAAAGGTCAGGGTGAGGGGAAGCTTGGCGGGAGTGTGTCGCGTAAAAGAAAAAAGCTATCGAAAAGGATCCTGAAAGAAATGAAGAAGAGAGCGAGGGAGGAAAAAAAGAAGAAACTTCGAGAGATGAAAAAACGAAGGTTAATTAAGGAAAAAGATGCGATGAAGGCGGCAACTGTCAACAAATCTTCTCCCCTTGAGGAGGTCGCAAAGGAACAAGGGGTGCTGGATACGCCGGTTGTGAATATTAAGTCTCACTCAGAGTTAGCGGCTGAGGAGGGGAAGAAAAAAAAGTCTACGAAACCGGTATCATCGCCACCAACGAAACCGTCACCACCATCCGCGGCAGTCGAGGAAGTCCGCACAGTCACCAGCTATGCCCCAACGGTGTCCGCGGTTGAGCTTAAGAACGCTCCTCCTCTTACGTTTGAAAATGCGGTGACATTGGACCGGTTTGACGGCTCTTACATGGAACTTCGTCGTCCAGATTTGAAGACACCGTGGAACATGAAGGTTTCTTTTGGCGGGGATAAGCTGGTGTTAACAAGTCTTCCACCAATTTCAGCCGCTCTGAAAACACATCCGTTTTTGAAGTCGTTGCGACCCGACACGAATGGTCAAATTAATTGGCTCGTGGACAATGTCAACGGGACGGATCTCACGACAGCGAACAAGTCTTTGCGGGCAAAGGCACTGGATCTCATGAAAAAGACGAATAAAATCTCACTTCTTCTTCGACCACTTTCAAAGTAATTATTTGGTTTTTGTTTTTATGCCCCTCTTTGACCCATAAAGGTTGGAAGCAGCCATGAGAAGGGCTCACTGTCCCATCCATATGCTGCGTCCTAGTCGCCTGTATCGCCAATAACTGGCCTCTTTACGCCGCTTTTTTCATAGAGGACAAATTTTCTTTTTTTTTTTTTCTTTTTCTTTTTCCTCATTTATTTATTTTTATTTTCATTTCTGTCTGTCTGTGTGCGTGTTTGTGTGGTCGCCTGGTTGGTGGCAGGTTCCATTTTTTTACAGCACATTTTTGACGAAGAGAAAGAAGGAAATGAGGACACATAGAGGAAGGTTTTGTTTTTTTTTTCTTTTTTTTTTTGTGTTTGTGTGTGTGTGTGGATGTGACAGAACATGCGGTGACTGTGGAAGAAGAGGAAATGGGTGAAATCTATAGAAGGAAAAGAGGGGGAGGCAGATTACTGTGCGTGTTATGTCGCTGCCTTTTTATTTTCCGCGTTTTAGGAAACTCTAATTACGCCTCGAAACTGGACGGGGCTTAAAATCAAGAAGAAAAAAAAAACGAAGAAGAAAAAAAAAATATTCAAAAATTACGCATACATACAGCGTATACATATTTGCCGTTTCAGATGAGGGAAATTTATTTATTTATCTTTTTGGCAAAGTCTTGCGGGTTGAAATAATAATAATAATAATTATTATTGTTTTCCTCTTGTCAGTTTTGCTGGTCGTGTGTGCATGTTGTTTTTCTCCTCAATATTTTTTACTTTTGTGTCTGCTCCTTGTTTGATTTTACTATCACCCATGCTGCCAAGCAGGAGGGTTCATCCGGTCCACGACGGCGGATAAAAACCCAAGAAGAAAAAACAACAAAATAGGAAGAAAGGGGAAAAGACATCACCTTGGCTGAGGTGCGTTCCGCAGAAACAGCAAAAAAAAAAAAAAAATAAGCGGAGCACGTCTTTTTTTGTGTGTGCGTGGGCGCGAATATGGCAGCGAATGAACTTTTGGCAGACATGCGGGCTTTGTTGGAAGCCATGGAGGGCCAAGAGGCGAGGCCAATCGAGCGTGGAGAGGGAGACGCATCCACGGAGGAAAATCTCCGTACACCATCGCCATCGCTTGAGGATAAAATCGGGCAGTTGCTGGGCGCACTGCGGTCAAACGGCGTTGACGACTGGGCAGGAAAGCCCGCACAAGAAGATTTGGGTGTCCGTTTTTTTTCTCAACCCCGAGAGGGTGCTGGTAACGGCAGGGTCAGAGAGAATACGCAGACAACAGATGGAGACACGATCGACAGCCTCATGTGCGAGTATCTTGGGGCGGTCAAGCAGGTTTGGCGCACCGAAGATCCACTCGAAGAATAGGGGCTTCACGCGTCCGCCTTCAACCAACAGATTTTTTTTTTTTTTTTTTTTTGGGTTTCTTCCGCAAGAAAAGTACCCGTTTATACTAAACATCCATTTTCACAACAAGAGGTGCGCAAAAAAAAAAAAAAAAAGGGCTTTCCGCGTTTTAAACGCTGCATGTACATCCGTCTTTTTTTCGCTATTTCACGGGACGCCAAATGAAGTGAAGTGAAGGGTGGGCAATGCGCGGGCGGCGTCTCTCGGTATATTCTCCCGCACTTCCAAAAGCCAGAGCCGCCGCGCGGCGGAAGAGAAAAAAGGAAAGGCAGAGCGCGGCCCACGCGCTCGCGGCGGCGTCGGGCAAGACGCCCATGCCCGCCAAGAGACACCCTGATTTCGGCCGCGGCAAGGGTCGGCTTTGCCGGCCAGCCGACGTCCGATGATTGGGGGCAGGGCGGCCATGGAGCTCTCCACGAGACGCTGAAGAGGAGGCCAGGAATAAAAACGGCCCGAGATCGGCCGCAGGAGTGCGACGGCGGAAAAAAGGGGGACGGTTCGGCAGCAGGCCGGGGAAAAAAAGCAACAGCAAGGAAGCACCGCGCGGGTGCCAAAAAAAGAAACAAAAGGGCAATCGAAGAAAACTCTCTTTTTCTTTCCTCCCTTGTTTTTCCGCGTTTTTTTTTTTTTTTTTTTGCGCGTGGATTGTGGGGTTTGGGAGATCCAAAAGGCTTTTAAAAGCTGTTGCTGTTGTTATTGTTGTTACCGTCGATTTTATTTTTATTTTTATTTTTTGATGGGAATTTTATTTTTTTTTAAAGAGCTTGTGAAGAGAATGATCGCGGGAGAGCTGGCCAACTTAATGTGTATATCCTGATAGATCGAGTACATTTCTTTATGGTACTTTGCTACCGTATGAATTTTTGGGAAGAAAAAGACTTTAAGGGTTGGGGAACCGATAGAGGCCAGATAATTTTTTATTTTTATTTTGCCATTCCACCCAGCCCCTCGATTCCCACCTCGCGGCGGGGTCTTGTGGTTGGAGGACCCCAAAGTCTGCCACTTCGTAAGTAATAATATTTCAGATCTGAGTACAAAAGACCACGTGAGTAGTCAACAGAATATATATATATATATATATTATAAGAAAAACATGAGGCAATTAACTGCCTCTGGGGTACCTCTTTTTCCTTATCTTGTCTGATTTTTATAGATAATTTTAGGATCCAGTAAGCGGCCCAGAAGATTATTCTGTAGGTCTCTGCGGCGCCTCGGCATCGGTGCTTGGCCGCATTGTGGCGTGCCGTGCGCTTTTTCCTCTGCTTTGGCCGCAGGTCCCCTGCCCCCGCCCTTCTCTCCTCCCTTTGTTTCCCAAGATCAAAGCCAAGCCAAGGAACCCAACCACACTTTATTACTATTTGTTTTTTGTTTTTCGCAGACAAGGATGGCAACCCCGAAGCAGGCAGCGAAGAAGGCGTCCAAGAAGCACAGCGGCGGCCGCTCCGCGAAGGCCGGTCTGATCTTCCCCGTGGGCCGTGTGGGCTCGCTGCTGCGCCGCGGCCAGTATGCCCGCCGCATCGGCGCGTCGGGCGCTGTGTACATGGCGGCGGTGCTGGAGTACCTGACAGCCGAGCTGCTGGAGCTGTCCGTGAAGGCGGCGAGCCAGCAGGCAAAGAAGCCGAAGCGCCTGACACCCCGCACGGTGACGCTTGCCGTGCGCCACGACGACGACCTCGGCATGCTCCTGAAGGATGTGACGCTGTCGCGTGGTGGTGTGATGCCGAGCCTGAACAAGGCGCTGGCGAAGAAGCACAAGAGCAGCAAGAAGGCGAGGGCGACGCCCAGCGCTTAGAGTGGCCTTCAGGCCAGGCGCAGGGAGGGGGCGCAACATGGTAGATGCACCTGGGTGGCCGTCGTCGCTGAGCCACGGTGACCCACACGTAGCCCTATAGAATAGGATTGGTTTGCTGTTGTTTTCTTTTTGTTCTCTACTGCCTCTCCTCCCGCTGTTGTGTAGGTCTCTGCGGCGCCTCGGCTTCGGCGCTTGGCCGCATTGTGGCGTGCCGTGCGCTTTTTCCTCTGCTTTGGCCGCAGGTCCCCTGCCCCCGCCCTTCTCTCCTTCCTTTGTTTCCCAAGATCAGAGCCAAGCCAAGGAACCCAACCACACTTTATTTGTTTTTTGTTTTTTGTTTTTCGCAGACAAGGATGGCAACCCCGAAGCAGGCAGCGAAGAAGGCGTCCAAGAAGCACAGCGGCGGCCGCTCCGCGAAGGCCGGTCTGATCTTCCCCGTGGGCCGTGTGGGCTCGCTGCTGCGCCGCGGCCAGTATGCCCGCCGCATCGGCGCGTCGGGCGCTGTGTACATGGCGGCGGTGCTGGAGTACCTGACAGCCGAGCTGCTGGAGCTGTCCGTGAAGGCGGCGAGCCAGCAGGCAAAGAAGCCGAAGCGCCTGACACCCCGCACGGTGACGCTTGCCGTGCGCCACGACGACGACCTCGGCATGCTCCTGAAGGATGTGACGCTGTCGCGTGGTGGTGTGATGCCGAGCCTGAACAAGGCGCTGGCGAAGAAGCACAAGAGCAGCAAGAAGGCGAGGGCGACGCCCAGCGCTTAGAGCGGCCTTCAGGCCAGGCGCAGGGAGGGGGCGCAACATGGTAGATGCACCTGGGTGGCCGTCGTCGCTGAGCCACGGTGACCCACACGTAGCCCTATAGAATAGGATTGGTTTGCTGTTGTTTTCTTTTTGTTCTCTACTGCCTCTCCTCCCGCTGTTGTGTAGGTCTCTGCGGCGCCTCGGCTTCGGCGCTTGGCCGCATTGTGGCGTGCCGTGCGCTTTTTCCTCTGCTTTGGCCGCAGGTCCCCTGCCCCCGCCCTTCTCTCCTCCCTTTGTTTCCCAAGATCAGAGCCAAGCCAAGGAACCCAACCACACTTTATTACTATTTG